CAGCCACTCCTCGGAAGGAAGGTTGGGCAATCCTACTTCCGTAGTGATACTGCCTCGGAAACCCAAGGAGGGGTCGCTATGAGTCAGGGCCAACTCGACGGCACATAACAACAACAACAACATCCAGGAGTGTAAGGAGTCCTGGTGGCATAATGGGTAAGGCATTTGGCCGCTAACCAGAAGGTTGTTGGTTCAAATCCACCAGCTGTTCCACCAGAGGAAGATGAGGCAGACTACTTCTGTAAAGATTTATAGCCTTGGAAACTTAATGTGGGTCACTGTGAGTTGGAATTGACTCAATGGCAGTGGGTTGGATTTGGGTTTTATCCATAAGCCTGGAATATCCTTCCATTAATATAGGTCTCTTTTGGTTTCTTGTATGAGGGTTTGTAGTTTTCTTTGTATAGGTCTTTTGTGCTTCTGGTTGGATTTACACCTAAGTACTTCATCTTATGGATGGTTATTATAAATGGTATTGGTTTCCTCATTTCCTTTTCAGAGAGCTCTTTGATAATGTAGAGGAAATCTGACTGAGTTTTGTATGTTGATCTTGTACCCTACCACTTTGCTGAATCTTTCAATTACTTCCAGTAATTTTCTTGCTGAGTCTTTGGGATTCTCTATATATAGGATCATATTATCTGCAAATAGAGATAGTGTTACTTCTTCGCCAACTTTGATACCTTTTAATTCCCTTCTTGCCTTATTGTTCTGGTAAGGACTTCTAATACAATATTGAATAGGAGTGGTAATAAAGAGCATACTCGCCTGGTACCCATTTGTAAGGGGAATGGCTTCATTCTATCTCATAGAGTAATGTTGGCCATTGGTTTTGCATATATGCCCTAACTTATGTTGAGGAATTTCCCTTCTATTTCTATTTTGTTCAGTGTTTTTATCAGGAATGGGTGTCAGATTTTGTCATATGCTTTTTGTGCTTCCAGTGATATGATACTGTGGTTCTTTTAGTTTTATTTATGTGGTGAATTGCAGGGATTGTTTTTCTAATGCTGAACCATCTTTGCACACCTGGTATGAATCCCACTTGGCCACGATGCATTATTTTTTTGATATGCTGTTATATTCTGTTGCCTAGGATTTTGTTGAGGATTTTTGCATGTATGTTCATGAGGGATATTGGCCTGTTATTTTTGTTTTTAGTGGTGTCTTTGCCTGCCTTTGATATGTGGGTTATGTTCATTTCATAAAATGAACTTGGGAGTAATCCCTCTTTTCTGTATTTTTGAATAGTTTGATTAGAACTGGTTGTCAGCTCTTCTCTGAATGTTTGGTACAATTTACCAGTGAAATGATCTGGGCCAGGACTCCTTTTGTTGGTAGTTTTTTATGACTTGTTCAATTTCTTTTTTTGTTATAGGACTGTTCAAATTTTCTAGATTAGTGTGTGTTACTTTATGTTACTTTAGAACTCTGTCCATTTCTTCTAGGTTTTCAAATGTGTTGGAGTACAGTTCTTCATAGTATCTTGTTATTATCCTTTTTATTTCAATTGGTTCTGTTGTGACATTTCTTATTTATGTTAGTTACATCATCTCCTTCTTTTCCTTGTTAGATTTGTTTGTAGATTTTATTAATCTCTTTAAACTACCAACCTCTAGACTTGTTGATTCTTTAAAAAAAAAGTTTGTTTTTTTTTTCTGTTTTTGGTTTTATTTATTTCTGCTGGAATATTTATTATTTCTTTTCTTCTGGTGACTGCATGCTTATTTTTCTGTTCTTTTTGTAATTGTTAGAGATGCTGGGTGTGCTGATTTTGGTTCTTTCTTCTTTTGTGATGTGTGCATTCATTACTATAAACTGCCCTGTGAGAACTGCTTTTGCTCTGTCCCAAAGATTTTGGTATGTTGTGTTTTCATTCTTGTTTGATTCAAGAATTTTTAAGGTTCACTTTCTCCTTCTTCTGTTAGTTTTTAAGAAGGGTGTTAGTTAGTCCATGTGTTTGATTTTTTCCCTTGATCTTCCTGTTGTTGATTTCTAATGTATAGCATTGTGATCTGAGAAGATGCTTTGCAATTTCAATGTTTTCAAATTTATAAGCTTGCTTTGTGGCCTAATATATGGTCCATTTTGGAGAATGTTCCATGTGTCCTGGAAAAGAATGTCTGTTTTGCTGTTGTTGGGTGGAGTGTTCTTTACATGAGTATATAGTGCCTAAGACATTTGACTGTTAATCATAAGGCTGGCAGTTCAAACCCACCAGCCACTCCTCAGAAGGAAGATTGGTCGATCTACTTCTCTAATGATACTGCCTCATAAACCCTAGGAGAGGGAGCTATGAGTCGGATCTGACTCAACAGCAGTAAATTTGGTTTTGGTTTGGTTTAAGGTCAAGTTGGTTAATTGTGTTGTTTAATTCTTTTCGATCTCTGTTGAGTTTCTTTCTAGTTGTTTTATCCTTCACTGAAAGAGGTATATTAAAGTCTCTTACTATTGTTGTGGACTGTCTCTTTTCAATTCTATTAATGTTTGATTTATGTATTTTATGGCTTTTTCATTGGATGCGTATTTATTATGGTATGTCCTCTTGTTTGACTAACCCTTTCTTTGTATATTACTTGTCTCTTAATGCTGGTTTTTGCCTTATACTCAATGTGTTCTTCCTTTTAAAGTATCTGAAAACATTCTTCAGATCTAGGTGACAGAAATAAATGAAAAAATATATAAGTAAGGAGATAAACTTATATAATGGATTCTTTTTTTCTATAGAGGTTTTTTTTTTTTTTTTGGTATAATGTATTGTAGAACTGTCTTTGTCAATTGTTTTGAAGTGGATAGGTACTGTTATAATGTTAATATGGAATCTGTTCTGCATTCCTTTCTGTTCACCCCCCAACCAGAAATAAATGAATGAATGAATGAATGAATGAATGATGATTTTCTATAGCACTTCAAATTATGGTTTTTGAGAGAGAGAGAAAAAAAAGTAGAGACATGTATGATTGACAAAATCCTGTCTCTTACGAATTTCTAGCTTATTCTTGACTGGGGAGTCCCAATTACTTACCAGAGGAAGAGAAATGTTATCATATTCTATTACTAAAATTAATGGAAGATGTGGATTTCTGTATTTCCCATTTCTCCTAATGGAATAGATGACTACAACAATTTCTAAACAGCAGATAAAGGTGAATAGGAATAAAATATTTCAGTATTCTAAAAAAACAATTTAAGAAAGATAAATTCTTCAGATTACCTCTCAGAAAAGAGAATTCATTTCAATCACAGAACAAAGTTTTAGCGACTCTTGAGAGGTATTGGTAGTTTAAATTTTTTTAAAATGGAGCTGAGAAGAAAAATAACTGAGAAGAAAAATAGAGGCAATTAACAGTTATATTAAAAATTTAAAACCTTTTTATAGCTAATTTGTCTCAAGTGAGCTCCTCACATTGGTCAATGTAGGAAGAAGGGGAGGTGGATGTTACTTTCTCTTACACAGTTAACGGCGAAGTCATTAGCACCTAAATCACTAAATGAGTGCAAGAAGAAAGCAGCCTCCAGAGTGGTCATCTTCAGCAAACCTCTTTGGGGATTTTGCCCTGAAGACACAAGGTGTGGGAAAACCGGTAGAGGGGATGATGCATATCAATACTGTTTTCTTGTTCTCCTTTTCAGCACATGCAGAGTAACTGGTGTTGATAAATATTTTATTATTTAAATGTACTAGAGGAACAACAATGCAACTATTCCCTGGGATGGCTGGTTCTGGATACAGTTATATGAAGAGTACTTGGGGAAAGCACTTCTACTTGGCTTTCCTTTTCCTTCCTTTCAGATTGTCTTAATCTGATATAATGATCTCCAGGGATTGATATATCTCATGTTATTTGTTCAAAACAGCAAAGAGATGATGAAGAAGGTAAGAAATGGGGCTAATGAAGAAAAAGAAAGTGAACAAATATTTTTTTTCAGCCACAGTTAATGCAAGCCTATCTTACAGGAGTTGCCTATACCTAAATCACAGAAATGCAGTTATAATTATTTTTATATTGCCACTACAGCAAGTTTCTCAGCCTCCTTAATGTAACACAATTTTTTCATACAGAAACTATTTTCTATATATAAGACACTAAGTATTTCTACCAGAGATTTCTTGTTACACTGAAAACATTTATTCAGTCGCTGTTTTTTAAAAATCCTGACAGCAGTGGCCTGGACAATCTGCTACTCCTGTTGTGGAAGTTAAAATGTTCAGGACAGAGTAAGTGCCATGAATGCAAGTTATGAATAATGGTTACTGACAAATGTAGATTGTAATGAAAAAATAATGAAACAAAGGTTTACCAATCACATGAATTTGATTAAAAAATTTTCTCTTAAATGTAACTAAGCATCAACCAACAGGAAATGCAAGTCTGTGCTGTATACTTGTCACTCAAAAGCTACTCTCATCAGTTGACTCAAGCACCTACTGATTATCAATGAAACTCACCTGTAAGCAAATTGCCAGGTTCACTCTACAGCCGAATGAGGTGCTAACAGCCCGTGGATGGAGGCCCAGGTCTTTAAACAATTTAGAAAATGATTGTGTGAGTGCTATCCGAGGCCGCTCTTCCGCCACAACTACACATGTCCGTACACGAGACAAGTCTAGCCCTCTTGCCTAGAAATAATTAGAATGATAATAAGTCAATATTCAGCATGCTTAGCTCCATGTAATTTGAGAGCTCCTTAATTTAGAATTCTATATAAACAATAGAAAATTCAACACAGCTATTCATTTCCAGGGTTCCCCATGCCATTAATTAATCTGTTCGTGTATTGCTATGTGAATAATAAGTTTATACAAATATCCAAATTATCAAGCACATCATTAAATACATATATTAAATAATAGTAAGAAGCAACAGCAACAATCTAGATGAGAAAAGAGGTTGGGGAAAATCAACTTCCTGAAAAAAATAAAGGACGGAGTTTGGGAAAGAGGAAAAGAAGCATTCATTTGCATCCCTACAAACGTGTATACACAAAAACATACACTGGAGTGAAAAAGAAAACTTATTTTTTAAAAAATATAGGAGTTGAAAAGTAAAATTTTTATATAACTGCATAAAGACAGCTCTCCATTTTATATCCTGTGAAAGAAACTTAAAAGGTTACAGATATACTCTTATGATTGAGCACATCTTGGTTTCTATGGTAAGCGCATGATTAAGTGCATCTCAATTTCTGGATCAATTTTAAGTCAACTGAGCCAAACGCAAAAATCATAGACGAAGGAAATGAAATGAGTCAAGTACAACACTCTCTGTGGTAATAGCTGGGACTTCTTGGGCCTTGCTGAAGGAAAACAAAGTTAATGATAAGCATCTCATTTAAACATAAAAGTAAACAGTGAGTTATCATGCCTTCTAGAAGGGAAAACAGAGGCATGAGGAATAGAGCTACAAACAGAAAACCACCCAGTTCTTCATGCATCCTTCCAGGCGGTACCAGCACATAGGTAACTGGCAAAATTCCTGAACAGAGGAGAAAACACAATCCAACATAACTTTGGCACCAATTTTTTGTATATAAATACAATTGTATATTGCTACAGTTACACAGGAAGAACTTCAATTCTGGGTAATAGAAATTATATAGTTACATGTATATGTTCCAAGAGGCAATAGTGGATGGGTTTGAGAGAGCCAGAGATTAAAAATTTGGCTCCAAAATTTACAAAATGAGAGAACTTGCTCGATACTAAATATTTTTGTGATTTAAAGTTTCTTCATTTTTAAAATGGAAACAATAATGGTTCTTCTTTGAAAGAGCAGCTGTAAAGACTGAATGAATTAATACTTAAAAGTGTTTAAAAATCACTTAATGATTACATTTTGGTTATTTTCGCATAGAGGGAAAGTTCATGAACATGGAGAGAACTCAATCATTTTGTAATTATGATATAGGCAGGCATGAAAGTTGTTTGTAAATTTATTTTCCTGTATAAATATGTAACTACAAGTAAGTATACATTTATTTGTGTAGCTTTATATCAAAGTTATATTGCATTTTGCTTTCCTGTTCAAGCTTAATATAGTAAGTCTGAGTAGCAAAACAAAATGCATGAGAGATAAATGTATTGCGTCAATATGTGTATGTGTATGGATAAACTATGTATGTGTATATACACACTTACACATACACACACACACACAAATATAATCTGTATATATACAAAGGCAATCATACATTCAGACATATAAATGGTGAATAGTATGTTGGATAGTAATCATAACAGATTAAGAGATAATTCTTTCCTTCTAACTTGTAAGTAAGGACTATATAATGTACATGAAAATATTTTTATCAAAATGTCCAATTTTAAATGGAGAGAAATACTATTCTTCTCACATAATGGTAATGGGAGGGGGGAACAAACCACCTAAAAAAACAATCTTTATTTCTTTTTGCAACGAATTCTGTTTAGAGTAGAGACCTAAAAATCAGTCATTAAGTGGGGGAAAAAAAAAAGTGGCTAAATCCAAACATATTTACTTAAATACCAATGTCAGAATAAAGTTAATTTCATTAAAAACTGAATTCATCAATCAAATGAAAAAGCAAATTAGAATCTTTCAAATAGACTTAGTGGAATTAGAGACACAAATAAAATATTTTATAATTGGACCTGTAACTGTTTTGTGCAGTGGGAAAACACTCAGTTTTTATATGAAAAATTTTTTCCATAACCTATCTTGTAAGCTTCAGGTGACAGGAGATTATGGCTTTTGTGAAGTATTATTTTAACTTCACTAAATCATTTTTCTATGCCCTTCCAATAAAGGAATTTCACAGAACTGTTGTATCCTGTGCACTGATAGTCACTAATAGAGTTAACAAATATTTTCCTCTAAACATTCTAGGAGATGCATAGTTGGAGCTCCTTACCTTGAGTGATTCTGTTTGTGAGCCCAGCCCCTTGGTACAAAGCTCCATCACAGAATAGGAGCAAAATGTATCCCGGACTTTATACTGACTCACAGCAAGAAGCCACAAAGCAGGGTTGGTTTCTAACTCTGAAGGCGGGATCAGAATGGACTGGTGTCCTGAGTAAACACTGTGGAGACAGAAGGCTGCTGTCAGAGAAGAGGAGAGAGCAAGCTCTAAGGACAGCTCAGCCTTAAATATAAGAAGCATAATAATACGACACCTGGGAATGTAGGGCAAAAACGGGAAAACTTTAAACAAGCCATACTTTTTTCATTTGTAAAATGGGGATAGTAAAGCAAATGCCATTTGTAAATATTTATAAATGTAAAATGAAATGTTTATTAAACATTCTGAAAAGCACAAAAATACTATGAAAATTATAATACAGAATGACGGTTTGAGCATTTATTTAAAATGTCCTCAAGTTGTGACATTATTAGGCTTCTCTTAAAGCTGCTATAGGAACAAACTGGATTCTTTTTCATAGCAGGAAACACAGGAACTGAATTTTGGTAAAAATATCTGGAAACTTAGAACAAAAGTTAGCAAACTACTAATGCTGCCTTTTTGTAAATACATTTTACTGGAACACAGCCACTGCCCATTTTTTTACATATCATATGTGGGGGTCACCTAAGTTGCACTGGTGGTGCAGTGGTTAAGTGCTCAGTTGCAAACCAAATGGTTGAAGGTTCAAATCCACTAGCCACCCAATGGGATAAAGATGTGGCAGTATGCTTCTGTAAAGATTATAGCTTGTATACAGTCCTCTAGGGTCACTGTAAGTTGGAATCGACTCACTGCCAATGAGTAGTTTGGGGTTCTTTTTGTTTTTGTTTTTAATGGGGCTGTCATGAATCAGAATCTATACTAAACAGCAACTTTTATTTATTTATTTTTTTTGCTTTTGCTTTTAAATGGCTGCGTTCATATTACAAAGGCAGAGTTGAGTAGTTGTGACAGACACTGCATGGCCCAGGAAACCTAAAATGGCCATTTAAGAAAAAGTGTGTCTGTCCATCTCTAGTTTAGAAAACTGACATCTAGAGGAAAACGAAAAACAGTATGACAACTAAAGGATGTTAGTCATTCAATTTCTTTACGTTTGAAATTTTACCTTTAAATGATCCAAACAAATCACCAAATAGAAGAACTGAGGAAAGTCAAATCATCCTGTAATTTTACCTCCTTTACATTAGAGAGGTGCCCTGGTGGTACAGTGGTTAAGGCATTTGGCTGCTAACCAAAATGAGTGGTTTGAATGCACCAGCTACTTCATGGGAGAAATATGAGGCAGTCTTCTTAAGCAAAGATTTATATAGCCTTGGAAACACTATGGGGGTCTTTATGAGTCAGAATCGACCCTGGCAGTGAATTCGGGTTTTGACTTTGACATTAGAGAGAATATTTACAGTAATGAGGAAAAAAAAAAGATTACATATTTTAATTCATCATCAATTGATGGAAAAAGTACAAATTTAAAATTATGAAGTATTTACCAAAACTATATTTTTAATGGTTTTATTAAATTTTCCAAGTTTATTGCTATAGATCAATATTAATAGATGCCATACATTATAATGAAATATCTGAAGTAAAGCACCATCTAATATTTAGGTAAAGGAGATATTGTAGTGTGAAAAAAAAAATCACAGAAAAAGTAAGCACATCAGGTCTTATTAATTGCTATATTATGATAGTAATATCAATTGTTTCATGTGGTCAATCTCATTTTTAAATTTTCAAAACTGAACAGGAGAAATGAACTGGTTAAAGAAAAAAAATTACATCAGCTTACAAAATCTACTCTAAATAGGACCTTAGAATGGAAACTTTTTTAGGTAATATGACAAAGGGCCTTTTGGACCAGTTTCCATTACTTCCTTTATTTCTTTATATCAAAGTTTATGTATTTTGTCAAAAAGAAATACAGCAGACATTGACCTTTTTGGTGGCCTTTTCATTCAAGAACTGGGAGATGAGACGCATAATGGAGGGGGGAGTCTGTTTTCAAGTTATTACTGCACAACGGGCTTTTATTGCTTTCCTGATTGAGGTATCCCAAGGCCTGTGTCTTGAAAACTAAAATTTAGTAAGTGTAAAAGTCACCCAGTGGTGTGCAAATCACCATTAGGACTACGCGTGCATGTGCGTGCACACACACACACACATACACACCAATGCATGCATCCACACAGATTGTTATGATATAATATTGTAATGCTGCACTCGTTTTTCTTTTGCTTTACTTAAAGATAATATATTCCTTTGAAACAAAAGTGCCTCTTCAAGAGAGGAATCAATAGAGAGTTGAGAGTTACGGTTTTCAGAAAACAAAAAACAGTCAACCACTGACCATATTCACTCAGGGAAGCCATAGCACAGTGTGCATTTCCAGGAAATACTCTGAGGTTTTACACACCCTTTCCTTTATCCTGGGTGAGCAAAGTGAACATTCCAAGCAAGAACTTTAAAAGGAGAGTTTTTTAACTCTATCATGTACAAATAATCAACATACTTTTTGGATGCATTGAGATACTTAAAGATATTTAAAGAACTATCTTCCTCTTCAAAAAATAACTGAATGGAGTCCCTGTGGTGCCAAGAACTCCCTTCAAGAAAGAACTTGCCATTTAGCTGCAAGAAGTGCCATCAGCTGAATGGGACCTTCTAAAAATTATTATTATTTTTTTTTAATGCTTCAAGAGACTTCTCCAAAAGAGTCAAAAGAGAACCTATAGGTTGGGAAATATTTAGCAACAACATATCTGACAAGGGACTTATCTCTCAAATTTACAGAAAACTCCCACACCTCAACAACAAAAAGACAAATAATCCAATTAAAATGGGCAGAAGACATGAATAGACACTTCACCAAAGAGAATATTCAGTGGCCAACAAACACGTGAAGAAATGTTCTCACAATTATTAGCCATTTTGTTGTTGCTATGTACTGTTGAGTCGGATTCGACTCATAGCAACTCCTCCTTGGGTTGCCGAGGCAGTATCATTATGGAAGTAGATTGCCCAACCTTCCTTCCAAGGAGTGGCTGGTGGGTTTGAACCTCCAGCTTTCTGGTGAGCAGTCAAATGCCTTAGACACTATGCTACCAGAGCCCCTTATTAGCATTAGAGAGATGCAAATCAAAACAACAATGAGATACTATCTTACTCCAGCACTAGTAGCAAAGTTCAATAAGACAGAAAATAACAAATGCTGGCAAGGATGTGGAGAGATTGACTCTCATATACTGCTGGTGGGACTGTCAAATGATATAACCACTGTGGAAAGCAGTATGGCAATTCCTTACAAAGTTGGAATTAGAAATACCATTTGACCCAGCCATTCCATTACTAGGTATATATCCTAAAGAAGTGAGAGCCAGTACAAGAATGGATATATACACACCTGTGTTCATCGCAGCACTATTTGCCATAGCAAAAAAGATGGAAACAACCTAGGTCCCCATCAACAGAGGAATGGATAACTAAACTATGGTACATACACATAATGGAATACTACGCAACCCTAAGGAATAACATACAATCTGCAAAATACCACATAACATGGATGAAGATGGAGGACATTATGCTGAGTGAAATAAGTCAATCACAGAAGGACAAATATTGTATTAGTCTGCTATTGTGAAATGTCAAGGAAAGGTTTATATATGGATGGAAATTTTCCTTGTTGGTTACCAGGGCTGGGAGGAGAGGGGAGGCAACACTGTGAGATAGGAAGAGACAAGTATTGATCTGGGTAAAGGGAAGGGCAATGTACCAAATATGAGTGATTAACATGGTGGCACTGAGGGAGAGGAAGACATAGATTGGTACGTGGGAGGTACAGATGACAAAGATGAACCCTTTTGCATATATTGTACTGTGTTGTCAGTGATAGGAAACATTGATCTACAGGTTGATAGATGGGTGGACAGGCTGAATGATCAGGTCTGTCTAGGCAGGGAGTAGGGTGCCCATGATCATGTATAGGGTTGGCAGACAATGTTTCTACAAGTGTATCTGTACGTGCTATAAGAATTTCCAGGTATATATTAGAGCTGACAAGGGACAAGGCTGTGATGACTTCTTGGCCACAGCTAGCCACCCAGAGGGAGTGAGTAGTTGGGCCTGTGGGCTCAGGACCATGTCACAGGGGACAGCAAGCTCAACTGGCATAACATACTACACAAAAATATTGTTCCACATCCTACTCGGACAAGTAGTAACTGGGATCTTAAAAGCTTGCAAGTGACCATCTCGATGCAGTAATGAGTCTCTCCTCATCCAGAGCAAAGAGGAATGAAGAAACCCAAAGACGCATGGAAACAATTAGTCCAAGGGACTGGTACACCACGAGATCCTTAGCCTATATGGCCATGAGAGCAGAAGAACTAGATGGTGGCCAGCTACCACTGTCAACCACTTGGAGGGGAATCCATGTAGGAGATCCTGGATAGAGTGTGAAAACAATGTGAAACAAAACTCAAAATCACACACACAACAAAAAGACCAGGTTTATTGGTCCTGGTGAGACCCCTGAGACTATGTCCCCTAGCTACCCTTCAGATCTAGAAGAAAACTCACTCCTGTGTCTTCCAGCCAAATAATGGACAGGATATGGGCCAGACATTTACATCAGGTAGATACACTACTTGGAGAGATCTAACAATCATAGGAGAACAGAAGGGCAGTGTATGAACAGGGAGACAGCTTGGTGGTGGTGGTGAGAATGCATAGGAGGGAAGGACCCAGGGAAGAGGTAACTTTGGGGAGGAAGTACAAAGAGAGCTGTTACATTGTGGGGAACTGCAGTCAATGTCATGAGACAAAATGTGTATGAACTGCTGTACGAAAAATGACATCCAAATCACAATAAAAAAAAATTTGGGGGAAAAAAGCAATTATTTAAAATACACACATACACATAGACAAACAAACAGAAAGAAAGAAAAAGAAGTGCCAGCAGCTCAGGCCTCCACCTGTTAATGCTTCAAGCTGTCTCAGCAACTGAGCTGAAGCCATGCTGTTCCTGGTAGCCCTCAGCCTAGGACTGAGCACATCAGGAGTGTCAAAACAGACAGACAGACAAACCCACTGCCATCAAGTCAATTCTGACTCACAGCT